CTCATAAATCCGCCTCTGCGCGCACTAATCGTTGTGTGAATTCCATTCTGAAATAGATATGTTGGTAAACTGACTTGTTAGGAATTTTCAATTGATGATCTCTTTTGATATGGCATGATGTATTTTGGACTCTTCTTATAATTGGAAATGCATAAGTTGATGCAGCAATGTCTCTCTCACAATTTGCACATGCATACAAAACTATATGCAGTGAGGCCACCACTATATACATTTTAAAAACAAAAAATCTAGGCAGTTACCCACCCATTACTTATATGGTGGATCTACCCCTGCTTGCTTGCTGGCAATTTTGTTCGAGTTTTCATGGGGAAAATGTTTGAGAACGATGGACTATTGTAACAAAATGTGGGGCATCAAACAAAGGCAACTGAAGATTTCTATATCAGCGGATACTGAGTACCTTCATACTCATATGTGAACCCATTGCCACTTACTTGTATTTGTACTAGCATTGAATTTTGTGTTTACGTTTTGAATTTATAATATGTCACATGAGAATAGGCCAGAGTACAAAAATTTGCTCGCTCACTTAATAATTAGAGGGCATTGTTCTTGGTACCAAATTAAGAAATGTCCGTGTTGAATGGGATGGACGAGAATAATCCCTTTTCTTTAGTGGGCTTATCATTGTGATATATCTGCATTTCTCAATGAAAGCGAACAATTATGTACAGCTTCCTTGATAGTGTTGCCTCCTGCTTGATAAAATGTGCTAATTTCACAACCTTTTTGTGATTGGAGATTCAATCATTTATTCGCTTCAATGTCATATAACAGCGAGGAAGGAGGATCTAGTGCGAGGGTAGCTCTTTTGTTCCATTTTTTTCTTTTCGTGTACAATTAAAAGGGGTAGAATAAGACCTTGTTATGACTAGTAATTCCTTGATCCCATTTTGTTTTACTTAGTTGATATTTGAGAAGTCCACGACTTTCTTTACATTGCTGTTCTTTTTAGTTGAAAAAGTGTGATGTCTTTCATCTTAGCTTAAAATGTATAATCTTTTCCAAAAGATAAATATATCGATTTCAATCCTCATAGTGAACTCGCTCTTATAAAACAGGATGATGGTAGCAGTACTGATTTCTTCATCATATGTGAGCTGAAGTTGAGAACATGTTTTGAACTTCTTCTGTCCTCCTGTCTCCTGGACACAATGTACAAAAGCATTTCATGAGCTAAAGCTTTTGAATGGTACCTCCTCTTGTCCATAACTTCCGCTTTGCCTTCTTATTAAGAAAGGCTCGGAATCAGTTTTCTTTATTCCTTCTCTTTCTGAAAGCTGGCTGTAGGTAATTGTGATGCCCTAGAATCTAGTAAATGTCTCTTATGACATGGTGACTGAAACCCCATTGAACAACAGTAGTTAACTATAGTAGTCCTAAGGTAGAAAAGTTGCTCGTGTGGTCTTTTATTTCCAAAGGGCTGAAACAGAGTACTGATGTTTCTAAATTATGCATGTGGTGATTGTAGGAGGGAGGGAGGGAGGGAGTAGAAGATTGTAGCGTTTGGACTAGATAAGAAATATCGTATGGTATTTACTGGAGGATTAGGGAGGGAGGGACTAGATAAGAAATATCGTATGGTATTTCCTGGAGGATTACCCACTGTAGGTAAAAATTTGGGTTCCGATGCAGGATCAAGAAATAGGAAGTGATGTTCATCTATAGTAATATCTTTGATGTGTTTGGCCACTAGAAAAGAATGATACATGATGCTGGAGGGAGGGAGGGAGTAGAAGATTGTAGCGTTTGGACTAGATAAGAAGTATCGTATGGTATTTACTGGAGGATTACCCACTGTAGGTAAAAATTTTGGCTCTGATGCAGGATCAAGAAATAGGAAGTGATGTTCATCTATAGTAATATCTTTGATGTGTTTGGCCTCTAGAAAAGAATGATACATGATGCTGTAATTGTATGGAGAATTTCTTTTGTGTCTAATATCTTACTTGACACAACCTTTTCTTGTCCATAACTTTTCCTTTGCCTTCTTATTACGGAAGGCTCAGACACTTTTTTCAGTATTCCATCCTCAAACAAGTTGGAGACAAGCAGCTAACCTTTGTGGTAGAAGATTGAAGCATTTGGACTATTTAGAAATATAACATGGCATTTACTGGACGATTACCTGCTCTAGGTAAATGTTTGAGTTCTGATGCTCATCTATTGTATGTTTTGCCTTCTAAAAAATGGATTTTGTATATTTTGTGCCTTTAGTGTCTCTTTTCCTGTTTAGTTAGCCTCTGATGTATTTTGAGTATGTGTTTATGATTATAGTGTCTGTCTTTGAACAAACAGCTGGCTAATTAATTCATTTTAATCACTGAAACAATTCTGTTGTATCCAATTTGCATGCCACTCACTGTAAAAGGTGAAGGCATCCAGAAATAGAATCCCCAGAATTGAATTTATGTCTTTTTTCTTCAAGATGATGTTTACTGCAAATATTAAATTTCCATGTTCTGTTGCATTTCTTCCTGTATTAACTAAGGTTTGTTTAACGCGTAACTTTGATATGTGGTCAGTTGATCTGATGAAGCCTGGTGCTACTGTCATTCTTCGGAATGCCAAGATTGACATGTTCAAGAACACAATGAGACTAGCTGTCGACAAATGGGGACGTATCGAAGTTACTGAACCTGCTGCATTTGAAGTGAAACAGGGTAACAATCTCTCCCTTGTTGAATATGAGTTGGTGAATGTGGAGGAATGACTAGGGTCTTTTGGTATCAGCTAACTAGTTAAAATCATAGTTTTAGTACCAGTATTACTGTTGTCCTCTATTTTGTTATAGCTGTTTCCTTTGGGATAGGAAAGCACTTATTATGAAGTGGATAAATTAGATTGTTTAGTAGTTGGATGGCTCATTATTTTGGTAGGGGGAAGGCTCAGGAACTCGCAGGGTGCGAAGGTGTAAAAAGAAGAAATCTTTACTGAAGCGTATGGATAATTTAACTTTATATATAAATCTAATGTCAAAGTGTGGTAGCTTTTTATTTCCTTATTAGTTCATTGGTTTTCGTGTGACCTATAGGTCATGGGTTCGAGCAGCGGAAGTAGCCACTAATACTTGTATTAGGGTAAACTGTCTACATCACACTTCTTGAGTGCAGCCCTTCTCCAGACCCTGCGTAAATGCGTGATGCTTTACGTATCGGGTTGCCCTTTTTGTCGGCTCTCCTTAAAAGTTCTTGTTCTTACGTACTCCCTCTTTCTAATTTATGTGGCACTTTTGGCTTATCGAGAGACAATTTAAGTAGTTTTGAAGCTAGAATGGATAAATTAGCTTAATATTTTAAAATTAAAATTTAGATATTCAAAATATAAGAAAATACTATAATTTGCAATTCTTCTTATGTCAATATTATGAAAGAAATACATTTACGTAGATAGTTTAAATCTCGAAAAGTAAAAAGGTGCCACATAAATTGAGACAAACGGAATACTGTATCTCTATACCTAGATAGTTGAGAAGATAAATATAGTAGGTTAGAATTTAATTAAAAATACTTTGAGGCAGTGAGTATCGATGTACGAGTTTTGTTCTAAAAAGGAATATTTTAAGGATATAATAGTAAAAATCTTGGTCAAACTTAAAATGCTTATAAGCTAAAAATTCATAAGTTGGGGGTGACCAGCTTATGGCATTTGGCTTATTTTTGACTTATAAGCACCTGACTTATAAACACTTTTAACTTTACCAAACGCGTAGATAACCCGAAAAGTGCTTATAAGCTAGTTTGACCAACTTATAAGCTTCGAGTGTTTACTATTGAATATAAAGTTTCCAAAAATGGCAATATGAAGAGGCCTATCAAGTTAATACTTTATTAGTCATGCAAGCAAGTCATGTGACAGATAAGTTTGTTTAATGTTTCTCATAGATGATTGATTCCACGAGCAAACATAAATCCAACTCAATTTAAAAGAATTCACCTATTTAATAATTTTGGAGGCAATGAGAAAGAAGGACAAAGAGGGTTGGGGTGGGGGTGGGGGTGGGGGGGAGTTGAGGGTGGTGATGTTAGGGTGGGTGGGGCTAGTTAAGTAAAGGGGGCCAGGTCCAAAATCTTGATCAAGATCCCAAATTAAAATCAAATAGAAATCAGTAGTCATGTCAATATTACATAAACCTCAGGTGCATGAACAAAGATTCCAACTACCATTATTTAATTTGTGGGGAATGTTATGCCCTTCCAATAGCCTACATTTTTTGACAAACATAAGTTCAACTCTACCTAAAGAAGAAATGCTTTTTTATTTTATTTTATTATTATTTTTTGTGTGTGTAGTATTTTGAGATAAATACTACTCCTAAGACTTACGGGTTTCTCCTTACGGAAGGAGATTTGCAGCAACTATGGCTTAAGTTATTGGTCGTTGAAAATCCTCACAAGAGGGATGATCCCTTATTATCACAACATAAATATTTTCTAGTGATGCAAGAATATTTTTGTGTAGCTAATCCTTAAATGTCGTTTGTTTTCCATAAATAACTTATATTGTATTTATAAGTTATAAATAGGATTTAGGAGGATGGCAAGATAATGAGCTAATGCGCTAATTAGCATGTCTTATGGATGAACCCGACCCAATAATTTATTTCAACATTTTGATGATGATGATTGGATACCAAAAGAAGAAATGTCACTTCAAGATTATTGATTTCCGATTGGTGATGGTCATAATAGGAAAGGACTAGATGATATACTTATATTTAGAAATGGTCAAAATAAATATTTAAATGATTATGAATTAGATGATTAAACAAAGTTAATTTAGAAATTATTGGTGTACTACTTCAAATATTTTTGAAAAAATGACACTGTATATCTGCTTTCAAAATAATATTAATTTTTTAATATATATATATATATATATATATATATATATATATATATATATATATATATATATATATATATATATATATATATACACATTTATGTATGTTATATATAAAAAATATATAAATTTTATACACTTTTGCAGCTATCGAATATAAATAATTTTGATCGCGAGCTAAAAGTGATCGTTGCCAGTATCTTTCTTGTATTGAAACAAGTTTCCTCTTAACAAATGGTTTGCCACAACGGCACAACATAAACTTGACGGGCCTATATATAAACTCAACCAAATAATTAAACATTTATCAAAGAACTGAATATTCTTTTCAAAAGGAATATATATTATTGCATACAGCTATGCTCTCTTAAAATTTAGCTTTGATCACCAAAAAAAAATGGGTGGCATTAATTTGGATATGTTTTCTTTCTATTCTCTTCCTTTAATATTTTTTTGCCTTTTAAAATGAAATATTGTTGTAGTGGAGCAACAAAAAGATGACCAAGTACATGATACGGACATTGAAACTAGTTTGGTATTATTATTTTTTTCTTAAAAAATAGAAAAGATATTGTTACTTTATTTGATTATCAACTCCTTAATCTGTATCGGATAATAAAGTTAAATAATCTAAATGTTAATTTACTAAATTTAATAACATAGTAGGACCAACTTCACGTGAACATCAAACTCACTGCATGAAGTCAGCCCTATCCCTACACAAATATTTTGAACCTTCCCTATGTATATTAAACAATTCAAAAGAATAATTTAAAAATATTTTCAAGACTTGAAATTTTTTGTATAAATGCAACAACATAAAAGCATTACATCATTTCATTACAAATTCCAAACTTTATCTCATTTCTCTAACATGAATAATTTCTTGAATTCTCAATACCTACATAAACATCAATCCATATTGAACCATAACAAAAAGAGGCTAAATCAAGAACAAGTAAAGAGGTTAGAGGAGAGTTTTGATTCAACAAAAAAGCTTGAGCCAGAGCAAAAACTCCAACTTGCTAAAGAGTTAGGTGTTCCTCCGCGACAAATTGCTATCTGGTACGTACGTTCTGTTAAATTATATGATCACTTCATCTAAAAACTTAAGCTATCGAAAAATTTTATTTTTATTTACTTAATTATGTCTTTGACAGGTACCAGAACAGACGAGCTAGATGGAAGAACCAGAGCCTCGAGCTCGACTATAATGCACTTCAGCATAAGCTTGACACTGTATTAGCTGAGAAGAGGAAGATTGAGAAAGAAAACGAACGTCTTCGAGGCGAGTTGAAGAAGGTAAATGAGATGTTTGTTGCTTGTAAAAAAACACAAGGACATGAGGAAACACAAGGATTAATTCCTTTAAATGCAGCTAATTCCATTTCTAGTGGTTGTGAGGAAGGAGTAGTGAGTTGTTCTAGCTTCCAAGAAGATGTGAGTTGTTCATTGGTAAAAAATAATAGTGAGTCTAATTTGCAATTTGATGAGCTTTATGCTTGTTTGATGGGTGCAGAAGAAGGATCAAATTGTCGTTTAAGTTGGCAAAATGGAAAAGATCTTTGGGTGTGGAAAAATTGAAAGACATGTATTATTGAAACAATTTACAGCATCTTGTTGCTTACATTAAACTAATGAATACGAGATATGTGTTTTTCGTGCGCATATTCATTGATCTATTGATCATAATTAAGTGACGTATTTTCACACTTCTAATTGGTAATTGATAAGGTTGAATTATTTGATTTGGTGTAAACTAGACCTGTTAAATGGGTCGACCCGACTCGGACTTGTGATGACCCAAGGGGTCATCTTTTATTTTAGAATTCGAATCCGGGTTTCAAGGCCTTGAAAACCTCTTTTTTTCCCTCCTCGATTTGCGTGCGCAGTCCGGGCGCGTTTTCGGAAAGCCTTTATGTGAAATTTAAGAAAAATATTGAATTTTTCCTTTAAAATTGATTAAAGTTGACTTTGGTCAACATTTTTGGTAAACGGATTCGGACCCGTGATTTCACGGTCCCGTAGGGTCCGTAGTAAAATATGGGACTTGGGCGTATGCCCGGAATCGAATTCCGAGGTCCCTAGCCCGAGAAATGAATTTTTGAAGAAAATTGCTAACTGAAAATATGATGGTTTTTGGAAATTGAATAATATTTTATATTGTTGGTATCGGGCCCGTATTTTGGTTCCGGAGCCCGGTACAGGTCCGTTATAATATTTAAGCCTTTTCTGTGAAATTTGGTAAAAATCGGAAGTGATTTGACGTAATTCGGACCATCGGTTGAGAAATTAGAAAGTTTGAACTATCTTGAAAATTTCATGAGTTTTGGAGTTGAATTAATAGTTCTAGATGTTATTTCGGCGAATTGATCGCGCGAGCAAGTTTGTATGATGTTTTAAGACTTGTGTGCATATTTGGTTTGGAGCCCCAAGGGCTCAGGTGAGTTTTGGATAGGCCACGGAGTGAGTTTGGACTTAGAAAATCTGCTGTTGCATCTGATATTTGTTGCAGGCCTCTGATCTCGCAATTGCGAGATCAGGCTTCGCATTTGCGAGCTTCACAGGCTTGGCAATTGCGAGGGTTTTATCGCAATTGCGAAGAAGCCCTGGGCCAGCATAGTTCGCATTTGCGAAGTCATCAGGGAGGGGAAACCTTCGCAATTGCGACCAAAGGTTCGCAATTGCGACAGTAGCAGACATGCAGTAGGTTCGCATTCTCTCAAATTTTCAAACCCTAAGCTCTCATAGGCGATTTTCCAAAGAAGAGTTCTTCCCCAAATCATATGTAAACGATTCCCAACTCATTTCTTTCAATCTATTCCATCTTTTTACAAGATTTCATCACAAAATCTAGGGATTTTAATGGGAAATTAGGTGTTTTTGGGTGAAATTTGGGAATTGTAACGACCCGACCGGTCGTTTTGAGCTCTAGCGCGTCGTTCAGTGTTTTGAAGCCCTGAGTAGCTTCACTTCAGGTATTATGACTTGTACGCGTGGTCGAAATTGAATTCCGGGAAGTTCGGCGTTGATTTGGAGAAAGAATTCTCATTACGGAAGCTTTAAGTTGAAGGGATTGACTAAGATTGAATTTTTAAGTAAACGACCTCGGAATCGGGATTTGAAGGTTCCAGCAGGTTCGTATGATGATTTTGGACCTGGACGTATGTCCGGATCGGGTTTTGGAAGACCCGGGAACGTTTCAGCACTATTGTGGAAGTTAGCATTTTTGGAAGAATTTCATAAGTTTGGGTTGAAGTGCATTTCAGTGTTATCGAAGTCCGTTTGGGATTCCGAGTCTGGGAACAGCTCCGTACGGTGATTCTGGTATTGGAAGCGTGATCGGAAGTGAATTCGGAGGTCCGTGGGTCATGTTGGAGTCATTTGGCTAAAGATAGAAATTTGAAGGTTTTGAGAAGTTTGACCGAGAGTTGACTTTTTGATATCAGGGTCGGATTTCGATTCTGGAAGTTGGAGTAGGTCCGTAATGTCGAATATGACTTGTGTGCAAAATTTGTAGTCAATCGGACGTGATTTGATAGGTTTAAGCATCGAAAGTAAAAGTTTGAAATTTTAAAGTTCATTAATCTTGAATTGGAGTGCGATTTATGGTTTTAGCGTTGCTTGACGTTATTTGAGGCTTCGATTAGGTCCGTGTTATGTTATGGGACTGAGTGGTGTGATTGGACGGGGTCCCGGGGGCCTCGGGTGAGTTTCGGATGTGCAGGAGGAGTTGAAAACACACCAGATTTTCTGGTGTTCTTGGCACCAGTTGCAGGTCTCGCAAATGCGAGAAAATATTCGCAAATGCGAACCTCGCATTTGCGATGAAAGCTTCGCAATTGCGAAGAAGCCTAGCCTGGGCTTGGATCGCATTTGCGATAAAGGCAGTCGCATTTGCGAGCCTGACAGGGTTCGCATTTGCGAGTTCTTGGTCGCATTTGCGACCTAGGCAGTATAAGCCCATGGTTCGCATTTGCGATATTTTGGTCGCATTTGCGACCTTGGCAGGGGAGGCCCAAGTTCGCATTTGCGATAGTTTTGTCGCATTTGCAAACCAGGTGTCGCAAATGCGACATCTGAGGCCTTTGCACAACTATTAATTTCGAGACTTAGACCATTTAACTCATTTCCTTTCATCTCTTGGGCGATTTTGGAGCTTTTGGAAGAGGTTTCTCACCTAGAATTTTGACGTAAGTAATTTTTACACAACATGAGTTAAATACATAGATTATAGGTAGATTAACATGTGAAAATTAGAAAAAATCAAGGGTTTTAGATATAAAACCTAGAGTTTGATAAAAATAAGATTTAACCACGAAATTTGTTATGGAATGGAGTAAAATCATATATTCTTGATCCTTAGGTTATGGGTAACAACTTTCTTCAAAAATTTCCGGAATCTGGGCGCGTGGGCCCGGGGATGAATTTTAGGAACCTTGCATTCAGGGTTGGGAAATTTGGTTTAATAAGTAGAATATGAACTTTTGAGCATGTATTGACTAGTTCTTACCCTATTTGAATAGTTTTGGGTCGTTCGGCTCCAATTTGGAGGTTTGAGCACGTTGTTGAATTGGGATATAGGCTTCAAAGCGAGGTGAGTCTCCTTTCTAACCTTGTAAGAGGGAATTGTCCCCATAGCTGAATTAATTGAATATGTGCTGTTATTTATGGGGGCTACGTACGCACGAGGTGACGAGAGTCCGTACGTAGCTACTATTATGCTTAAGTACGGGTAGTCTAGGATCCAAAAGCATGCTTTACTTGCAATATTTGAAATCTCGTTGTCAATTTGAAAGTGTGTAAAACATATCGAATTTGTAAATAAATATCTAAAAGACTAGTCATCGTTTCCTTGATTTTTAAAGTGAAATTTGCCTTTTACTTGGATAATTGCTCCTTGATGAACTCTTGATTGACTGTTTGAATGTATTTATATATTGTGGAGCGGGCCGAACGCCTCGGTAGATTAAATAGATGCATCTATGGTTCGCGCCATTCGACCCTCTAGCAGTGCACAATTTAAATATTGTTGGATCGGACCGTACGACCTCGGCATGATTTGCGCATGCTTGTATTGCTTGCCTTGAAATTTATGGAGTGATATTGTTTCTTCTCGGTTTGAGAATAAATGTTAAATGATGAAAAGGAATTTGGGAATTTCCTATATAAGAAAGAATTATTTACTTGCTTCATTCTATTGAATTACAATCATGTTTAAAAAAAAATCCTCGAGTTATTATATTATTGATGTATTATTATTGGACCACTAGTAAGTGTCGAAGTCGACCTCTCGTCTCTAATTCTTCGAGATTAGACGGGATACTTACTGAGTACACGTTATTTTCGTACTCATGCTACACTTGCTGTGCATTTTTGTTGCACAGGCACATGTATTTCTAGTGGCTTACTGGGCGTAGAAGCATGGATGATACGGAGACTAAGTGAGCTGCATTTCTCGAGGCGACCCGCAGCCAGTATAGTCTCTTTCAGCGTATTGTATTTACTTCTGTCCAATTTTTATTCCGAACAGTTATTGTACGTTATTCGATTCTCTTAGTAATTGCTCATGCACTTGTGACACCGGGTTCTGGGATGTCTATGGGAATATTCATTATTTTGAAATTGTTAAAAATATTATTATTTATTCAGTGGAACTTATTCTTTATTGTTTAAATATATAAAAGAAGTAAATTTAGAAATATCTAAAACAAGAAGTTACTAGTTATTTAGTGTTGGCTTGCCTGACAATGGTGTCCGACGCCATTACGACCCTTAGTGGATTTTGGGTCGTGACAACATGGTATCAGAGCACCCTTAGGTCTCACGAGTCATGAGCAAGTCTAGTAGAGTCTCGCGGATCGGTACAGAGACGTCTGTACTTATCTTAAGGAGGCTACAGGGCTGTTAGGAGCACCTCCCTTCTTGGTTTCCTCATCGTGCGATTCGATTCCTTTAAGGCTTATGCCTTGTTTCCTTCACAATCGATCTTATGCGACACGAAGCGCTTATTATAAATCAGGAATTGAGAAATTTTAAAGGTACTACAGAGGTGGTGCGGGATGCTTCTCCCTGCGTAGTTGATTTGACTATTGTCGTCACCTTGAGGAAGGATATTCTATCGTTTCAGCTCAGTAGTCGTACTTCTGAGAGCTCTGAGCCTAGGCACAAGTTGCCATGGTGCTTATGAACGGTTATTGCGCAGTATTGATGTGATTGTAGGATGCTTGTCTACGTGTCGGGGCAGTGAATGACTTGAAGAGAGGCTTACTCAGTGCATGATTTGGAGATCCGGTATTTTATTCCCGGCGGGGGAAAGGCAATCGGGCTAAGAATGTTTAGATTTGGGTTGATGGAGTAACGAGGCTTGGTATTTGCCAGCGTGGTGGAATTTTCATCTGTGATGAGGTGTCGTTGTCCTTGTTGAATGTACTAAGTTCGTCGGTGTTATGACCTTCTACAATTCGCCTTGGGTGCAGGATATTGTAAGATTGTATTGGAGAAGCGGCTATCAGAGATCGCGGGGTGCGGTGGTTCAGGATTTAATGTGTATTTCTGATGCTGACGGCTCGAGAGAGACGATCTTCGGAGAGGTTTAAAAGTTAGTAGCGGTCTATTGATTCAAGTAGGTTTTGATCTAAGGCATCAGCTGAGCAGCCAAGGATGAGGAAGGACAGG